GATGATGATGATGATGGGGGGCAGGGAGATGATGATGATGATGATGGGGGCTGTGGTGCCCCTGGATCCTATTGAAACAGGGGCAAATGGTCTGAGAAACCCTGGCTCTGGCCAAGATGCTTTGGAAAATCGCATTTTAAAGAGGAGCTTTGCCCTTAGAGGCACCTAATGGAAGGGTTATGTAGAAGGAAAAGGGAAAATGGGAGATAAAACCTTACTACCACAACTTTCTCTTCATTTCAGGACATGACTTATCTCTGTATCTCGGCCTCTGATTCTTCCAGTCAAAACCTGTAAGTCATCTGCACCCCTTTTGCCTCCCAAGGTAGCATTTTGATCTCCTATCGACCGACAGCCACCGGATTTCTCAGAATGAATATTCACTTTGCACTGCCAAAACTTCGTGTCGTTGAGTCTGATGAAAGCTGTAGCTCATTTTAAGGCAGCTAATAGTGTTTGCATGGCCTAACATCTGTTTCTCTGTGTGTTTGCGGTCAGTAAATTCAATTTTCCATCAAATCTTGGAATTATTCTACCAGGCAGAGCTCTAAGCTGGAGCAAGGCTCATTGGTGCAGACAGTGATTTGTATTGGCCTTTCAGGCTTCTTCCTTGGAAGGAGAAATTGGATATTTATCAAAATATTTTTTCCCCCATACAGAACATAAATACTGGACACATGAGGATGCTCTAGATGAGTTTGGGGAGAGGTGACGGTGGGGCTGATGGCTGCAGTGCTGATTGTAGCAGATGTAGCATCATCCCCTGCTTAGGGCAATAGGCACCCAAGAACCCTTCATTAGAACCAGAAAAATGGGTGACTGCTGGGAATTTTTCTTGCCAATCCACCCATAAAAAGGCAAAAAGCTTCCCGTGCAATAGCTGTACCAAGCTCCATTGGTGGAGGTGCCACTTCTCAGCATCCCTGGGAGAAACTGTGCTCCGTGGGCATGATTCTGCTTGCTCATGCTCCTGCTGAGCGGAAAGAGAAGCTTTACAAGAAAGCCCTGCCTCAGCAAGAAGGAGGGTTTTTTCTGGTTTATTTCTTTTTTTTCTCTCCTCTTGTTTCTTTGCATTTGTGGTATGTCTACTGAAAGGGGAAAATAAAGAAGGACAAGGCTGGCTGCCGGAAGGAAGACTTATTCAAGGAACTATTTTTCTGCTTGCCACTTTAAGTCATGGATTTCACAATCCTGGTGAACTTGGTGTCCTATGGAGGAGGAGATGTTTGTGACTCAGGGCCTCGCTGGCTCTCAGTGTTACATCTCCTATGGGATGCAACTGGGAGGTGTTCCCTCTAGCTGGCTGGGAAGGACCACAAGTGAGGATGGACAGACAGATCAGTGAGGGTCAATGGGAGGAGACACAGCCACATTTTTCATGTCCAAGGCTCAGTGCTGTCGGTTCCAGTGAAGGGGTGTAGAAGAGGTGTGGCATTGGGAGAGCTTGGAGCCTTGGGGGCTGTGTAGGCAGTATAGAAAAGTCCCTGTTTCCCAACAGGAGATGCTCTGCTGGCAATGGATTGACATCTCCATCCAGGGCCAAGAGACAAAATATTCTTAGCATGACTACAGCTTCAAAGAATCCTCCGCACCTCCTTCTGTTCTTGGCTTTTGGGCAGCAGAACTCCTAAAACTCCCCACAGAATGGCTATTTCTGAATATGCCTTTGACGGGGGCACCTGAGCTCCATGCTTCCATAGAAGGGTGCAGAGCATCCCAGCTGGGCAGACAGAAGGGAGGGGGAAATCTTGGGATGGTGTTTGTGCCCAGGTTGGTCTCCTGGCCCTGGTTGGGGTCTCAGGAGGATGCTGAGGGGAATATCCTTGTGGCAGCATGTGTCTGAGCTTCTGAGAAAGCAGGAAGGCTGTGTGGGGCTGGCCCAGCCTGGTCACGTGGAGCAGAGGAAGCTTGGGACCCAGCAGTGGGATGGTGGCTGTGTGGGGCCACCTCCTCTCCTCCTCCCCCTGAGGAATGCAGGGCTGTGCGCCAGGCTTCGGGTCAGTGAGTCCGTGGTCAGTCTAGGCACGGCCCCAAGTTACCCAGGAGCAGGTTTTCTGCTTCAAAACTCCCCCGTGGTGAGCAAGGCTGGGCAGCAATCATAGCGAATATTTGCTGAAGAGCCAAGCAAACAGCTCTCTGTGAGCTCTGGGAGATGCTTGCTGTCCAACAGCAATAAACAGGAGAGATGGATGGCATTGAAGCACGTGTAACCCTCCTATGGACCTTGGGATCATGAGTTTACGCTGAGTTATTTTAGCCTTTTTTCCACCTCTGTGTCTTGATGCTTTCAGAAAGGTGAGTGCTGCAGCAAAGCACCATGCTGCATTGCAGCTGAGCAGCCAAAAAGCCTCATATCTCTGTCTGTTCTGCTGCAAAACTCACTGGTTTGGTCTAATGCACTCCCTCTGCACTGGAAGTGGCTGATTTCTAGCAGGAAGCTTTCAGAAATGTGTAAAGCAAAATGTTCTGGGCATGACCTGTCCTGCATCTTTCTCCCCATGGAGGGGATGGAGTGGCATTGTTTAGGAATGGATGGTTCAGGATGAGCTCTGACATAAGGATGAGTTAAGCACGGGGATTTTGCTCTCCCATTGGGCTGGTGGCTCGCTCCATCTCATCACCTTGGGATGCAGGAAATTCTCCAGAAGGCTCTCCTGCTTTTCCTTCCTGGCTGATGCAGGCCAGTCCCTTCCTCTGGCGGGGGACCCATCTCTGTGCCGGCCCCAGGGAAATCCTGGGGATGATTCCAGGAGGCGGCAGCTCCTTCTGCTCTCATCTCACTGCCTCTCTCCCAAGCAGGATGCAGCACTTTAAGGAGAGCATCAAGTTCATCCATGAGTGCCGGCTCCGTGGGGGAGGCTGCCTTGTCCATTGGTAAGAGCCTCTGTTGGCAGCCTGTGGGCTTCCTCAGTGTGATGCTAAAAAGTGGGGAAAAGTCATCCAAGGGACACTGTGGGGAGGTGGGGGCTCCCAGGTGCTCAGAGGAGGTGTGGGGATGGGATCCCAACAAATGTGGTTGGGCAGCGGGGATGGGATCCCAATAAGTGTCCTCAATATTGAGCATCAGTTGTGGTGGAGGAGATGTGAGGAGTGGCATCAGGTCAACAAGATCATCCATGCCCCGTAAACCTGTGCTCTAAACAGAGGGGACAGCCTAGAGGAGGGGACATAACCGTGTGACCTTCATGGGGACACTGATGGGACAGGGGCCACCGTGGCTGGAAAGCCCCAGTGCTGCATCCCACAGCTTGTTGTCCCTGTGCTGTGGGGTTCCCATGGTAACAATGCCCCCATCCTGACAACTCACACCGTGCCAGCCTGGCCGGGGTGTCTCGCAGCACCACCATCGTGGTGGCATACCTGATGACAGTGACAGAGCTGGGCTGGGAGCGCTGCCTGGCCGCCACCAAGGCTGTGCGCTCCTATGCCAGCCCCAACTTCGGCTTCCAGCAGCAGCTGCAGGAGTACGAGCAGACCTTGCTGAAGGAGGTGGGTCCTGCATGCATCCATGCCAGTGACTGGCCTGCAGTGCCAAAGGAGGGGAGCTGTGCAGCTGAGGGCCCCTTTGGATGCATCTGCGGTGTTTGCAAATAAGCATGCCTGTTTTGCATGCAGCAATTTTGCAAACAGTGTGAGTCAGCTGTTTGCCCTTCGAGCACGCTATTTATTACCAGGGGCTTTTGCTTTTTGCATGCATGCATGCAAAAACTTAAAAAGTGCCTAGGCATAATGTGAGTGAGCTTAGAATAAAGCTGTTTTAAATCCCAGTGCTCTTGTTTTCTTGAGAGTTCAGCTTGCATCCTGCAGAGGGGATGCTCAAATTGCACTGAGCTGGCACCAGGGAGTGCATGTGGGTGATGTGTGCACAACAGCCCTAAGCTTGGTCCCTGCAGCATCCCTCAAGGGAAAACCCCAATATATGGCATGTTGTCACCATGCAAGTAGCTGCTCCATGGGATTTCTCTGCATGTGACAGTGGCCAGAGTGTCAGCTCTGGCACAGATCCTGTCACTGGAGGGGTGTGGCCCTGCCAGGCTCTCACTGCTCCAAAGTTGGCTCCCACTGCCTGTTTTCTAGCAAGGAAACCAGCACAGCTCCCACCCCTGCAGTGGGGCTTCCTGTGTGCAGGCGGCTGCCGGGTGAGTCCCCTGTCTGGGGGAGTGGATACGGGAAATGCAGACATTCCCACTGGAAATCCCCTCTGCCCAGCTGACTTTCCCCAGCTGCAGGAGGGGGCTGCCACCAGCACTGCTCTCAGGCTTTCCCCTGGCCTTCACCTGATCCCAGGAGGCTGGAGCCCTATGGCCATGTTGGGACATCAAGAGCAGGGCACAGGGATCTGCCATGCCCATAAACCAGGGATGTGAGATCAGCTCCCTTCCTCCCTCTGAAGCCACGTCCATCCCAGTGCTGCCTGCATCCTTGCTGCTTGCTCCTTGGCACCCTGCAGGTTTTGCACCCTCCAACTCGTTGCAAGCGTTTTGCTTTGCTGGGTGCTCTGAGTGCTGCTCCTTGCTTGCTGGCTTCCCATTTCTGGGTGTCAGCAGCGCACAGCAGTACTGCTGCTCCCCCCCCATGCAGCGTGGCCGTGCCCCATAAGTGTCGGGAATGGCTTCCACAGGGCTGGTTCCAGCTCTCTGCTGGGTGCCAGCTGGCTCTGGGACAGGAGCAGAGCGGGTGAGCACAGCACTCTGCAAACAGGAGCTGACCTGCCTGGGGTCAGGGAGTGCAGCCCTTCCCTACATTGGAGAAAGCGTGGGGACGCTTTGCGTATGGTTACGTGGCTGTAAGGAACAACAGCAGCTTCTTGGCAGGGCAAAGTAAATAAGTTGAATTAAATAAAGTCAATAGAGCTGTTGGGGCTGCTGCCAGCTCTCTGGTTCCTGGGAGCAACCAGCAAGGCTGCTCTCTGTCTTGGTGATGCAGCTAATGCTTGGTCTGTGTGCAATGCTGCATCTCTTATTGCGTGGCATGCAAGCTCCTGCAAAATGGGACTGCTGCTGTACCTATGCTGTGCTTGGCATGCCTGGGGTTAGTTCAGGCCTTTGCACTGTGTCCACCTACTGACTGTGGCACCTTCTGTGGCTTTGCTTTGGCAGTACCGTGCCTGGATCCGTCACGATTACGGCAGGAACCCCTTCCAGGACCAGGAGGAGCTGCAGCGCTTGTTGGCCCAGCAGGAGCAAAGTGGAAGCAGGGAGGGCTCCTGCACCACTCCCCCAGCACCCAACCACCCACTGCCCAGCAGCAGGAGCCCGTGGATGGGCAGATAGGCAGCAGCTGCTCCCAGAGGGACACTATCTTTGTGCCTTGCAAAACGTGACAGCCGCCGTGCCCAGCGCCCATGGGGTGCAGCTGCAGTGGGATGCGATGGGGTAAAGGCTGGGGCAGGACCCCACAGCTGCAGTTATGCAGGGGCTGCTTTGCTGCTGCTTCTCATGCACCAGCCCCGCCGTATGGGAAAAATCAATTGTTACTGAAAAACAGAGAGGCAGGGCCTCACTCTGCATTAAAGCCCTTCTCAGGGTCACCACAAGAGGATCCAATCCTTTATTCAAGTATTTCTAGGAAGTCCCTTAGTAGAAATTTCTGGGTATTGGAGGCTGTGAGTGGGACAAAGCTGGTGCTGAGCTGCCAAGGAACAGGGGATTGATCAAAACCATGGGGATGGCTGCAGGGATGGAGGGATGGGCTGCGTTATTCTATATAGAAGTGCCGCAGTATCTGGGAAAGCACCCTGGGCAATCAGTGGGGAAAAGGCCAATAAGTGCTGATGATCAAGGGAGGTGGAGGGAAGTTGAGCAAACCTTGTAGACACTGCATCGAATGCCTCGCTTATCATTTTAGGAAGCAGAAAAATGGAACTCGTGCGCAGGAAAAAGAGAAGAAAGTTGGTTTCTGGTGTCAATAGGAAGTCATCGCAGATCTGTGATAAGCAGAGATTAGATGTGCAGTAGGTGTGATAACCTCATGCTGCCACTTCAGCACCCATCCCACAGTCTGCCCTGTCTTGTGGGCATCCCGAGACTGCAGTGTTTCCCCTAACTCACCCCGGCTTGTGGGAACCACAGGGGATGCCCCGAGCGATTACAGCATCACGGCAGCATCTGCTGCCCAAACAGCACCTCCTACCCCCACATAGGTGCCAGGCAGCTGTATTCCCACACGACTGCATGTTCTGTCCTCGGTGGAAAGCAGCACCACCTCTCCAGCCCTGCTCTGTGTTTTGCCAACTCCCACATCACCCATGCGGGGGGTCAGCAGTGCAATCCCCCCCCCTCCTGCTACAAGTGACCCTCATCGCATCAGGATGTGTTTGGCTCTCCCCATATCTCACACAGGCTCTCCCAGCAGCTATTTGTCAGGCATCGGAGTGAAGGCTTTGCACCGTGGCTCGTTATTTTTATGACACCATCTGCACAGCTCCATGCATTCCCCATTTCTCAGCATCACCCACACGGGAACGCTTATGCATTACTTCCAAGAAACGGGCACGTAAAGCGGGATAATCCCAGCAAAGCCAAGGTTGCAGCTGAGTTTTGGGCTTTACAGAGCCGCGCACCCTCGGCTGGCGTCCACATGCAGCCCATCGCATTGCCACGGGATGCCCGGGTGACCCCCTCGTGCCACCTGCGGGCAAGGAAAACAAGCCAAGCACCCTGGGTTTGGCCGAGCACCACCAGGAGCAGCGTGGGGATGAAGAAATAGAGGAAATGGGGTGGAATGGGCCGTAGGAGGACGGACGGACGTTGGACACACGGACATCTCCCGCCTCCGCGCCACCATGCTGATTTCCCGGAAAGGCGCGGGCTGCGGAGAAAGCCGCGCAAGCCGAGCGCGCGCGCGCCCCCCATTGGAGCGCCCCCTCATTGGGTAGCCGGAGAAGGGGGCGGGAAGAGGAGGGTGGAGAGGGCTGCCATTGGCTGAACGGCGCTGGGGGCGGGGCGACGTGGGGAGCGGCCTGCGGGGCGCTATAAGGGTGCGGGCGCGGGCGCGCGTTGGGGTGCGGAGTGGGGAGTGTGGAAGGTAATTGGTGCGGTGTGTGCGGGAGCTGGGGGGAGGGAGAGGGATGTCGGGGGTGAGGGTTCTGGTGCGGTGTTTGGCTGGAGGGTTTTAGGGTCGCGGTGGTTTTAGGGTCGTTGGGTGCTGGAGCGGGGCATGTAGGGTGAGGGTGGTGCAGGGGCAAGGCTGTAAGGTGCTGGTCAGTATTGGGTGCTGGGAGCGAGCAGGGTGCGGGTTTGGGGTGGGGGTTTTAGGATTGGTGGGGGTGCGGGAGGTGGGGTTTGGGGGTGCTGGGATGGAGGCTTCGGAGTGCTGGGGGATGTGACTTCAAAATGTGGAGGTTGTAGGGTGCTGGACAGGCAGGGTCGTGGGGGTGGATGGAGGGGAGCTGTGGGCTTTTGGGATGAAGCTTTAGGGTGCTGTGTGTGCATTATAGGGCAGGCAGGGTACTGGGTTGTAAGAGGGGTTGTAGGGTGGCTTCTAGGGAGCTGGGTGTGCAGGAAATAGGGCTGCACGGTGCTGGGATTGCATCGGGAAGGATCTTTTGGGTGCTGGGATGTGAAGTTTTAAGGTAATGCGAACAAGCTCATGAGAAGATGGGCTGAGTTGGCTTTCCCGTGGCTGCTCTGCTAAGCCATTTTTGCTAAAAATGAGCTGAGACCAGAAATGAGGTGACCTCGGGGGGGGGGGGGGGGGGGGGGG